TGGTTTCACCCTCTCTAGGACAGACCTGTGTGTTCTCTTAGCAGTCCATGGTATGTTCAATACTCTTCTCCAGCACCACAGCTCAAAGGCATTGATTCTCCTTCTGTCCTCCTTTGTCACTCTCCAGCTCTCTGACACATAGCAAGTAATTGTGAAGACCATGGCCAGGGTCAAGTGCATCTTAGACTGGCATCATTGCTCCCATCATGGCACCCTGGAGACGTACCTGACAGCAGGTTTTCCTAATGCAATTTGTGGCCAGATTCTTGTACCACCCTGTTAGACAATCCATGGGAGGTGCCAGTGGTTAATGTGCTTAGCTGCTAACTGAAAGGCTGGAGGTTCTAATCCACCCAGAGGTGACTCCGAAGAAAGTCCTGGTGAACTATAAGCCCCTAAGATTCATACGGCGCATAATTCTGCTCTGACCCGTGTGGGGTCGCTGTGAGTTGGGGTTGACCCAGCAACAGCTGGTTTGTTCTCCTGTAGACACACACAGGCAGGCATGCACTCCCACACATGGGCACTCAGGGGACACACGTGTGGGCAGGCACGCAGGTGAACAGGCATTTACATATGCAGACATACGCATGCCTGAGCCATCACTTCCCCAGCCTGAAGCTCAGCCCTTGCTCTGCAGGTGAAGGGGTGCATACCCCACTCTGTGCTGGGCCCCTGTCCACACTCTGGAGAGGAAGCAGAGTGGCCTGACTCTGGACAATACACCCATGATCCTGCCTTACCTGAGACCAGCTAAGGACTGAACACCCATCTCCTGGTCACCCTGGCGCAATGACTGGGAAGAAGTCCCGGGTAATTCAGGGTGTCTGGAGGCAGGGGTCTTAGCAGCCTTTGCTGGTAGACCCACAGGGATGCAACAAGGGATGTGAGCTGGGGCGAGGAAGGGGCGCATATCTCAGGCCAGTGCACACACCTGGTGGCCAGGTTTGCAGGTGTTCTCTGCTCAGCCTTAGACAAATAGAGCAGCCCCTTCTCCAGTCTCCCCAACTCAGTGCTCCCAGGAGACCAACACAGTGTCCCAAGATTTTCTCTGTTCCCCCACCCTCAGGCCTGCCCCTCCCAGAGCAATTCAGAACATCCATGCCCCTTCTCTTCCTCCCTCCTCCCTTCCCGGTCTCCACATGCCTCCGGTACCAACCAGGAAAGAGTGAGTTCAGCTAATCGAGGTGTAGCTTCTGAACAGAGTCAACAATCACCTTGGCCTTTTATCTCCAACTCAATGAATCCATGGGAGGGAACAAACAGCAGCTGAGAGATCTCCCAGAAGGGCAGGCAACAAGGAGAGGGCTGTAGACAGAGGTGCGCCTGAGAAGCAGAGCACCTGGGACCAACGTGGGCCCTGCTACTCTCCTGGGCTGGGGGGCAAGAGGACCGCTGCCTGAAGTCATCCAGGGAGGCTACCTGGAGGAGGCAACCCTGCCTAGTCCTGTGCCATCCACACAGTCTCTGTTATGTTTGAGCCCATTGAGGTAGCTACTGTGTCAATCCTTTGTGTTGAGGGTCTTCCTCTCCTTTGTTAACTTCCTTTGCCAAACATGGTGTTTCAGGGACCAGCAGCTCCTAATGACATGTCCAAAGTCTGGGAGAAAGAGCCTCACTGTTGTCATTTCGAAGGAGTGTTCTGTTGTACGTCCTCCGAGACAGATGTGTTGGTTCTCTTGACTGTCCATGGACTCATCACCAGCACTCGTCACCAACACCACAATTAAAGGAGGACTTTTCAGATCAGTTCACCACTGGTCACAGGTGACTAGCCACTTTCATTTCACAAAACAATAACACCAGGAATTCTTTTAAAACTGTGACATCTGGATTCAGAGACTGAAAACTCAAAATAAAATAAAAAAAAAATAATCTTTCTCTAAGGGGAAACCTATGAAATTGCAATCTTTACCCTTTTTTTTAAATCCAGTGTCAATGAAGGGGTAACTCTACTTATTCCTATGTATGTGAAAGTTGGATAATGAGTAAGGATGGCAGAAGAATTGATGCCTTTAAGCTGTGGTGTTGGAGAAGAGTGCCAAATATCCCATGGACTACCAAAAGAACAAACAGACATGTCTTAGGGGAAAATGCAGCCAAAATGCTCCTTAAAGGCGAGGATGATGAAACTTCACCTCACATACTGTGGGCGTGTTGTCAGCACAGGCCAGTTCTTGGAAATGGATCTCATGCTAGGACAGAGGAGGGGCAGAGAAAGAGAGAAAGATCCCCAACCAGATGGACTGACCCGGCGACTGTACCAACAGGCTGAAGCGTGTCAGAGACCCTGAGGATGGTACAGGTTAGGGTGACAATCTGATCTGCTGTTCAGAGGGTGGCTGGGAGTCACAGGCCACTCAACAGCCCTTAACAACAAAAACAACCACACCAACTTAAAGATACAACAATAACAACCACACCAACTTAAAGATACAACAATAACAACCACACCAACTTAAAGATACAACAATAACAACCACACCAACTTAAAGATACAACAGTAACAACCACACCAACTTAAAGATACAACAGTAACAACCACACCAACTTAAAGATACAACAGTAACAACCACGCCAACTTAAAGATACAACAGTAACAATTTAAAGATATACAGTGAACATTAAGCAACTAACATATATGGAAACTATATTATGCTCCTGCAATGCATACACATAGCATGCAGTACACAAAGTTTCCTTCTATAAGAGACTAGGAAGAAATGTCTGGCAACTGTATTTTGAAAATCAGCTCGAGGAAGCCCTGTGAATCACTACAGTCCTATTCACATTCAATCATGGGGATGGGGCAGGGCCAGGAAATGTCTTCTCTTGTTGAGTGTGGGGTCACCATGAGCCAGGCAGCCCACAAAATTGGTTTTTGCTGTTGTTGTTGCTGGATGACACTGACGTGAGGATGACCCATAGCGACCCTATGAACACAGACCTGGATTCTCCTGTCCTGTGCTGTCCTCATCATCTCTGACACACTGAAGCCCGCTGCTGCAGTCACTGTGTCAACACATCTGGTTGAGGGTCTTCCTCTCCTGCCTTTCAAGCATGGTTTCCCTCTCCAATGTCTCCTGGCATCATGCCCCAAGTAAATGGGACAAAGAAGACTACAGATGCCAGGTTAACCATCATCATCCTGAAACAACCCACTTTATGGATGAGAAGACCAAGGGAACAAGGTTAGTAATAGAGTTAGAGTCGAGGCTCAGGTTTGGCTGAATGCAGCCCTGAGGTTCTTTTTTTTTTATTATTATTATTATTTGTGTGTGTGTGTACCATCAAATCAGATCTGACTGGTACAGGAGGAGATTGTCCCTCCTTCCCCGGCAGAGCATCTGGTGGATTCGAACAGTGCGCCTCTGGGATTGTAGTTGCAGTTCCTTGCCACTAGGCCACCAGAGCTCCCCTTGCCCTGAGGTTCTTAATCTCTCCTTGATTCTAGGAACTCACGTTGTCTAACTCCAGGGAAATCTGACCAGGGAGCTCCAGCATTGTCAGGGGTTGAGGAGCAAGGGAGAGGAGCAGAACGGGGTCATTGTCCAGCTCAAGGTCTCCCCTTTAGAATAGTTGTGTGAGGCAAAGCCTGGCAGGCATACAGCTTGGGCAAAGGAATGGAGGTGGGAGGAGATAGGCCACCACCTACAGCATGAAGTACGGAGGTGCAACCCGAGGCCCAGAGTTGGGAGAACACTTGTCTGAGGTCACACAGCATGCAAAAGGAAAAGAGAGCCCTCCTGGTCAGATGGGAGAGGACTTAAGCTCTATGTTAGACTGTGAGGTCCAGGTGAGTCCCACACTCTATGGATTTCATTTTCTGGTGGGATGGTAAGAGGTGGGGAAATCTTTCCTCCAGCCCACAGCCATCCAAGGGGTCTCAGCCTCTCTAAATGAAGTGAGGGAGACAGACAGACATAGTCAGAGAAGGATGGGCCTGCGGGGAGAGTCCTGCCCAGAGCCAGTCTTCTCCATAGAAGACACTCTGCTGCCCCCTAGTGGGTCCAACCAGCGCACCCAGGATGCTCCTTGGAGGCTACGATGCTGAATCTTCATCTCCTAAACTTGGAGTATATTGTTGGGAACCACCAGTTTTTGGGAAAAGGCTTCATGCTGAGAAAGCTAGAGGGTTGGAGAGAGAGAGAGAGGAAGACCCTCGACAAGATGGGCTGACACAGTGACTGTAACTATGGGCGTGGACCAGATGGTGTGGAGCAAGACAAGGGTCAGATTGTTGTTCGTAGGGTCACTCTGAGTCACGACCAACTCAGCTGACACCTAACAACAGCAGGGTCTCCAAAGGAGTCCGATGTTCCACCCCTTCCCGAAGGTCAGCTTCCCAGGGGCGGGATGTGGCAACATGCCCAAAGTATATGGGACAAAGAAGACTACACTATCATCATCCTGAAACAACCCACTTTATGGATGAGAAGACCGAGGGACCAAGGTTAGTAATAGAATCAGAGACTCACAGGTGAGCCCAGACTGGCCTGAGGAGGGGCCCTCCTCTCCCCTAATGTCCCACCGTCACCCAAACCCACACAGAGGAAGCTGAGAAGCTGAGATCCAAGCAAGACAGAGTGAGGGTGGGTAAAGATTATCGAGTGTGAACACTGACTGGCCCATAGTCTGCAATGTGGCTGTGGACAAGTCACATGCCATACCCGTGCCTCAGTTTCCCCAGATGATAGTGCTGGCTCCTGCTTTCCCTTCATGGTGGTAATCTGCAAGGCAGTGAGGGGAAAGACAGCAGAAGGGTTTCTGGTGAGTAACAAACTCTCAGTGAAGACTGAAAATGTGGTCCTGATCCACCCAGGTCTGTTGGCCTGAGCTTGGAGGTGCTCACGTGGCCGGATCCTCTGGCAAACCTGAGTTTCCACGTCTCTGTGACTGAGATGTGTCACCTGGACTCCCATCATCAGAGCCAGCCTGAGGTGTGTGCACCTTTTCTGAGCTCACGGAAGGCAAAGCCCAGACCCACAGGAACTATACACTCAACTCTGCAAGAGTTTATTCGTTGGGCCTGTTTCAGAACCCAAGGGAGTGTTCAGGAGGGCTTCCTGCAGGAGGAGGCAGGGGCAGACTCTTCCACTGTTGTCCACAGGAATAGACGTCCCCCTTGGCCAGTCACAAGAACATCTGTTGGGCTTCTTGAAGGCCTGGGTGGCCCATTCAGGATAGATTCCTTAGCTCTGGCCCACCTGGGCTTTCAAAGCCTGGAGCTCTCGGCTGTCGATGCTGTTGCCTCCACACACGATGACCACAACCGAGGCCAGGGAGGGGCTGAGGCGACCTTCAGATTGGAGCCGCCCCAGGATGCCCGAGTAGATGGCAGCCAAGGCCGCCCCACAGGCAGGCTCCACCAACAGACGCTCATCATCTGCTCAAGGGGGGAGGCAAGGAAGACTCGATTAATGCCCAGCAGGTTTGTGACCCACAAATCCATGAAGCCATCCATCCATCCGTCCATCCGTTCACCCACCCATCCATCCTTCCATCCATCCATCACCTACCCATCAATCAGCCATCCGTCCAGTCATCCATCCGTTCACCTCACAATCCATCACTGGTCTGAGTCTCTTCCCATCCATCAATCTGACCCCCTATCTATCCATCCATCCCTCATCCATCATTAGACTGTCTGTTGGTCCATCCATCAGTGTGTCCATCAATCAATGTTGCCCATCCATTTATCCATCCATCTACTCAAGCCATCATTCCATCCATCCATCCATCTCCTGTCATTCAACCATTTGTGTGTCTGTCCATTCATCAATGTTTCCATCCACCCATCCGTCCATTTCTCTGTCATTCTTCAGTCCACAACACCATCAATTTATCCACCCATCCGCCCACAACTGTCGATAGCTATCCATTATATATTTTCCCACTTGCTCATACATTCATTCAACGAATATTTACTGAGCCTTCCTTTACTAGGAAGGCATTGGGGACAAGACATGTCAGCCACCCCCTCCGTGGGGCTCACAGTGCAGGGAGGAATAGACGGGTGAGAATCAGGCAGTTATAAATGGCTAGGGTGGCACATAGGAGGCCTCAAACCCAGGCAGGGAGGCTTCCTGGAGGAAGCGGAGTATCCCTTAGCCACAGATGATGGATAGAGAGCCGAAATAGGATAGGTTAGCCCGAGGGAGAGTGGGACAGCATGCACGGCAGCCTGGAGGCTGGGAAGAGCAGGACATGCTCCTTCCTCACCCACCCACCCTTCCTCTGACCTGGCATGCATTTATTTTGTAACTACTGCATACCCTAATGATGAGGATATAGACAAATTAGAAAATGTGTGAGTGCTAGTGGGCCCAGGGACTCTGTGGGTACCCCCGGATGGAGGGGGTGCTCACCCAGGAAGCGCTGGACAGCGCTCACAGCCTCCACATCATCCACCACCTCAGAGAGGACCGTGCATGTCTGTGTGCACGCCAGGGCCCCCGCGGCCACCGTCTTGGCACCCAGGCTCTTGGCCACACTGCAGGGAAGAGAAGGACAGGATGGGGACAGGAGAGGTGAGGGGAGAGCCCAGAGTCAGGGTCCTCCCTGTGCAGCCTCGAGCCCCCAGATCTGCAACGGGATAGAACTCAGCACTGAAAGAAGCAGAGGAGTGAGGTCAGAAGAGAGAAAAGGCAGTTACAGGTTTTCAAAGTGGCTGCTTGGAACCTTTGCACACATTATTGTAGCTCTTGGGTGCTCTTGGATCAGAACCCACTCATAGCTGACCCTCCAGAGGGTTTTCAGAGGCTGCAAATCGCACAGGAGGACATTAGCCATCTTTCTCCTCAGGAGCAGCTGGTGGATTTGAACTGTGTACCTTTGAGACTGCAGCACAATTTCTTACCACTAGGCCACCAAACCTCCCTTTGTACATAGTACGTGCTTAATAAAGATGCCTTGCAAAGCCACTGACTTGACTTCCTTTCTGACTCCTTGTTTTACACACAAAAGTTAAAATCGAACTTTCAGAATCTGATGGTCCCTTAAAGTAGGAGGCGATAGGATTCATGAAGGAATTGGTGAAGTGAAGGAAGCATAAGAGATCAGACCATGCCTGGAGGCTGCTTGCTCTTTTTATTCTCTCTCTCTCTCTCTCTCTCTCTCTCTCTCTCTCTCTCTCTCTGTGTGTGTGAGAGAGAGAGAGATCAGACCAAATCAATTGGTTTTCCATGCACCCATTCACATATATACATTGTCTTCTATGACATTAATTTCAGTACATACAATGTAACCATATTATAATACATACATGTAACCACACTCTTCTCACTTCCTTCCCCTGCCTTTCCTCTTGTTTGTTCTTAAGACATCATGCACACTGAATTCACATCACTTACAAAATGCAATGAGAGAATCGTAAGAAAGACCAGACTTGCTGGTCAGGTAGAGAGCAGAACCCTGGGGACTCTGGCCCCTAGACATTTTTCAAATCTAGAACAGAACCCACT